TATGTTGGACAAAATTTTCATTACTTGCTAGCATTGATTCCTAAGCAGAACATCATGTACAAAGGAAGTATGAATATACCTGCCAGATATTAGTGATAAATCATAAAAGATAAGTTTCGTGGCCATGCTACTATTATGGTGCCTGCTGTTAATGGAGTTTGGCAGAGTTGACTGCTAGTCAGGATTTCATTTATTTGCTGATTTGTATATTCATTAAATTTAAAAACTGATCATCTCACAGAGCAACTGAAGGTGTTGTATTAGATCAGGAGTGCATGGCCCGTGGCTCGGATGTGTCATGTGCTGGCCCCGCCCCTGCCAAGTTTAGCAAAGGGGGAAAAAGTCCCGATACTTCACGTGACACCGCCATGACACTGCCAGTTTGACACCCCTGTATTAGATGGATTTTTGGTTTATTATGACTTGATATTTTAAGCAATAAATTGAGGTGACCATCACTAGGTTTATCAAAAAACAGGAGGAAAAATATTAACTGTTCATAAAACATTCACATTTGCATCCTCGGGGACCTTTAGAAGTCATAGAAGGTTAAGATCTTAGCTGTAACAAACAAAAATAGAAAGATAAGTAGAATATCCTGTTTATCCTTCCAGGTCAAGAGAAGACTGACTATGAGCAAATTAGTTAGATGATGAGACAAAGAGGACACAGTGCAACCTTTTGTTGTAAACTTGAAGTGTTTCTCGTGTTGGTGCATCATTTGTAGTCTTAATGCATGATGACTTAGTCATGCAACCTGATCTTGATAACCAACTATATAGGATAGCAGTCTGTGTATTAGGAATGGAAATGAGGCAAGTGTAAAAGCACACAATATATTTACAGAATGTGCTTCAACATATTTTCTTTGAATAACATTATTAAGTCATGTAATGACTTCCAGCATAATTGAGCTAAGTGTTAAAAACATTGCGAAGGGCATCACAGTTTGACTCTTATTTCTGTAAAAGAAAATAGGAATAATGCAGAAAGGAATTCTAACTTGTTCTGAGAAAGGATTTTGCATCTCCTCATCTTGGTCATTTTTCTTCTGCTGTGATCCCAGCATGTTATTAATTGTTAGTGCCAGTATTTGCTGTGGTTTGGAAAACATAGATAGCATCTGTTGGGATGCTTTGTTTGAGAGGGCTTTAATTATTCAATATTCAATATCTAATGAAGAAGCAGATGAACCGAGTCACCTATCCTTCACCAAGAAGAACATAGTGGCATTTCCATCCTTTCTAATGAAGAAGTAGAATTACTGGGAAAAAAGATACATGGCAAATATGGGGAAAAACAGAAAGAAAATTGAATCCTGAACAATATAGTCTCTTAATGCTGCCACAGTGAAACATGGCATGTGCTATTACTGATCCTTACTGTTAAAAGTTAAGGAATGTTGCTGCCATGCTGGTTAGACTGAACAAATAAATGTTCAGCAATAGATATGTCTCATTTAAATTTCTTCCGATTCACACTTTCATGTGATAAACTGGGCAGTGAAGTTAAACTCCTCCTAAAAGCACTTGCTACTTAACAAATGCATGTCAGCAAGTCAGAAGGTGATCCAAGGTACTTGATGTACTATGGAGCTATCTGTTACAATATGTATGGAGTCATTCCTTGGTGCCACTTTGAGACTTTGATGTGGATGAAATGTCAGGTAGAAGACTTAAGGTTTAAGCTGGTTTGCACAACCCACTATTATATGGTTTGTCTGACTTTAGTTTTGCATGTTTTGTGAGCCCTCCAATTATGGGTTATTGCAATCCCTTAATCCTTGATTAAAGTACAGTATCAAATATGTGTGAACACAGTTTATAAAACCATGCACATATTGCCTGGGTTCATATATTGTACTAAGATTTAGTTTACAACTTATCACAATAAGCTAAAACCAAATACGTCACATATTATTTTATCCAGTGTGACAATCCACAAAAGTGAAAGGATGAATTTGAGGAAGCTGCTGGGAAAATTATGAACATCTTTAAATTACACACACACACACTACATACCTATCACAAAGACACACAAATATAAATTATATATATATATATATATACACACACACACATAAATTATATACACACATTTAAATTGCACACAAACTGTACACATACACACATTTATTAAACACAAGTACACAGTCCAATTCATTATATTTTGATTCAACAAACTGGGCCAATATGAAGTAGCTAGAAAATTACTCAGAATGTAAAACTTTAGCTTTGTTGACAGCAGAAATAAAGACATACCCATCTTTCAGGCAACACGATATAATCTGTGGAGGGAAGTTTTAATGCCTTTTGTATGAATACATGCCTTTCCTATGATTTGTGGGAGTGTGGAAATGGATTCAAATTATACTGAACCAAAGTTAAAGAAACAGAGAACTTCAAAGAAGTTTATAAATGATAGTTCTTATAAGAATAGGTCCATATTTATAAAATTGCAAGGCCACCTATCTCACTAGTACAGCAACTCTGGGCGGCTTACAAGATAATAAAAAGTTAAAAATTCTAAAAAAAAAGAATAAAAAGATTAAAAGTGAAGAACGAAGATTGGCAGCCTGGGGGTGAGCATCTTCACCCATCAGCCACCCCCAATGTAACACACCCCTTTTGGGGTCCTAGGCCAAGCAGTAGAGCCAAATTTTAGGTTGTTCCAGATGGGGCAAATTTCACCTCTGATAGGGCCATCTTAACAGCATTATGGGGCCAGGACAAAGCAGTGTACTGGGGCCCCTATGACAACTACTCATAGGAATAAAAATGTAAATGGTCGATAAAATTAAGCATATACTTGCATGTTAATATTAATAAAAAACAGTAAAATGTAATAAATATGTATTTATATGATATAATATGCATTGAACGGTTAACATACACAGATTAGTATGGGGCCCCTATGCTCGTGGAGCCCACGGGCAAGTGCCCATCAGGCCCACGCGTTAAGACAGCCCAGATCTCTGACAGGAGAACATTCCAGAGGGCAAGAATGAGCCATAGCAGAAAAGGCTCATCTCCTGAACTGCCACCAGGTGAAATTCTTTGACTGATGGGGTCTGAAGTAGGCCCTGTCTGTTGGAACAAATATGGTGGTTAGTCCCATTGGAATAAGGCAGTTCATCAGATACCATGGACCCATGTCATAAAGGGCTCTAAAGGTGATAACCAACACCTTGAACTCAAACTAGAAGCAAACTGGCAGCCAATGCATCTCATGTAACAGTGGTATGACATGTGCCACCTGAGGGGCCTCCTGAACTGACTGTGCCGCTACAGTCTATAATCAGTTGTAGTTTCTGAATATTCTTTAAGAGTATGTAGAGTATGTTGCAGTAATTCAGCCAGATGACCAGGTCATGAATGATTGTACACAGGGCCTCACAATCCAAGAAACGGTGCAACTGGCACACAACATGAAGTTGGGCAAAGGCTCTCCTAGCACTTGCAAAGCCCTTTTATGTTTTTATATCATTTTTTTCCTTATTTGACAACTGGGATCTAGGTTCCAAGAGGCAGGTTGATGCTTATTCATAGGTTTCAGAATAACTTCAGCTCCATTGGAAAAAAAAAACAACCCATAACTTTAGAGATGATTCCTGGCATTATGAGATTGTAAGAACTCCATTGTCTTTAATATGTATTAATATATTATATGAAACAGGATTATTGGAATGAATATATATATATATATATATATATATATATATTTATATATTTTTATATATTTTTATTTATTTATTTATCCACCATTTATATCAATTTACAAATTCAAATAATCTTCCAGCAGTCAAACTATAAGAAGATTCTAAAATCATTGGAATCCTTTTGAAAAACCTTCTCACATTGCTGATAAGAGTCCTAATATATATAAAATACCACTATTTATAGATTTTTTTCCTAAAACACTGGAGCTTGCTTTTAAATGCTCCTTTAAAAAAAGTAGTACAAATAAGAATCATAAATGAATTGCCTTTTGTACTCCATGTAGATTGTTCTCTAACTGCTCTAGAACTTAGTGAGATAAAGGTGGTTGAACACATCCATCTAAATTCTTGAATGCAATTACACTTTTTAAAGTAAATAAGATTTTTTTCTGAGGGAAATTCTCTCATTTCCAAGTTCTTTAACTGAGTACTGAGTTCAGATGATGAAACATTTTTTATCATTTTAAATGTGCTGTGTTTTTCCTTCAGGCATTCAGTATATAATTATAATTACAGTTACAAATCTTAAATATAAATTACTTTTCTCAGGAAATTATTCACTTTTTTCGTCAAGGTCATTTAAAACTCCACTGCATCCTATTTTATCATCATAATTTGCTTTAACAGGCATACCACATATATACCATAGGAGGGCAGTGTAGATCTTCACAGAATACTCTGATATGCTTAACACCAAGCAAAAAAATAATACTTAAGGCTAATTGAGATATTGATTAGGAACCTGGAAGAAATATATTTATTGATAGACTGATTCAAGTATAGCTGAAATTAATCACAGCCCCTTTGCCCCAATATAAATTATTTCATGGTTTTTTTTCAATCCAAGTATACCCATTTTTTCTACTAGATTTTGCAATGAGAGAAGCAAAACCAGTTTCTAAACTGAAGTCAATACCCAAATGATTGTTGTCAAGGAGCAATTTTCTTTCCATTCATCTGTATCCCATACCTATTTGAGGACTTAGCAAGGCAATAGAAGACACCATTTAGATTAACAAGTGATCTTTGAGAATATACTGTGAACCTACCCAAAGTTTTTAGGCTGTTAACTCAGAGAAAGTGAGGGATATCTTTAAAATAAAATTTTGAAACAGTTGAGTGTTTCTGTCAGGATTTACCAATGCCTTAACCGTTTAATCCTCTTGACTTAGAGCAGCATTCCTCACTAAATCTCTTCCACCACCTGTCTTGTGTGTTTATTACTTACTAACCTTTTGTGTCATCTCTTTGTATATATCCCTAATTTATCAGTCTCTTGTAGATTGTCAGCAGCCTGCTGCCTCACTACCGCCACACGGCTCACAACTAACCAGGAGGCAATGCTGTCAGACTGTCAGGTAATGTTCTGCTAAATCTCTTTTCTTCCCCTTTTGGCTTTCTTTGCATGCTATAGTCAGATTCTCATCACCCCACTTTCTTTGCATCTGTCATCCCCAACCCTAATTTCTACTCTATCTGCTATCAGTATGTCTGGCAGACCCTTATCTGCCTTTAAAACAAACAAACAAACAAACCAAATTAAAATTGAATCAAATTTAAACTTTTGTAATTGATGTGGAAAGATTACCTATGCTACCATGTCCAAACAGTTAATCGTGCCTGCATGACTGCAGGAATCATGCAACGATATGCATTCATATGTCATATTTAGAGAAGAAAGGACCACTGAACAATAGATAAATTTGCAAGACTTAAGCCAGATTTGCCTGCACCACCACAACCATCCCATGCAGACTATCAAATCCAAAGATGTTGTTCAGTCTACAAACATGTGGGTTGCAAAGAAATTATAGGTAGTCTTCAACTTATGACCAAATTGGGACCAGAATTTCTTGTTGATAAGCAAGGTAATTGTTAAGTGACTTGCACCCTATTTTATGAGCTTTTTTGCCACAGTTGTTAAATGAATAACTGCAGTTGTTTAAATGAATTACGTGGTGTTTAAATTAATCTGGATTTCCCCCAGGGACTTTGCTTACCAGTAGCCAAGTGGGAAGGTCTCAAATGGTGATCACATGACCCTGGAACACCGTAGCTGTTGTAAATACATGTAGATTGCCAAGCAACTGAATTTTGATCACATGATCATGGAGATGCTGCAATGGTCATAAATACAAAGATCAGTGTTCATTCACTTTTTTCAGTGCCTTTATTACTTTGAGCAGTCGCTAGATGAATGGTTGTAAGTTGAAAACTATATGTAAAAGCCTAGGTTAAAATGTGTGTGTTTTTAAAGAAAGAAACCCTGCTAAGTAAGCAAACAGGAATTTACAAGATCCGTGTTTCTCAACCTTGACCATTTTCAGATGTGTAGACTTAACTCCCAGAATTCCACAGGAAGGCTGCCTGGAGAATTTTGGGAATTGAAGTCCACAGATCCGAACATCGCCAATGTTGAGAAACACTGGATTAAATCATTAAATAAATGTTTAACTTAAGAAGCTATTTAAGTAGTATCTGGGGTGAATCTGGAGCTGAGCTGACCAGTGAAAGGGTTGGCTAGCCTCTTCCCAAAGTTCCACCGGGTTTATTTAGTAGTTCTGTAGAAAGTACATTTGTCTGACAAGATTCCTATCAATAGGCAATAAATACCACTCTGGTCAGCTCCTTGAGTTGCCTCTGACAGCATCTTTTGGATTTTGTATACTTCCTTCCTTTGTAGGAAGGGCTATAATAGAATAGAAAAGGAGATGCTGTGTCAATAAACATTTGTAGGTCAGGGTTGAACTGTGTGGTCCTTGGTGTTGTCTGAGCTTGTTTGTTTCCTTGCAGATGTTTCATTACCCAAACTAGGTAACGTCATCAGCATGTTTGCAAAAAAAACAACAACCGAGGACCCCTCAAGATGCTCTGAGTGAGAAGGTTCTAAGTTCTAGGCTTATCCTTTCTTGATAGAGCTGAGCCTGTGAAATTGTGAAAAGCTATTGAGAGTCAGAATAGGCATGGTTTAGATTAGATAGACCAGTCTGAGATGGTATTAGGCAGATTCCTGTTTTCATAACACAAAGCAAACATGGAAAGAACCAGGTAGGGATTGCACCATGAGAAAGGATGCTGGCTTTTCCAGTTGCCCTGGCCAAAATAAAGAACTGATAAAAATTCTCAAGGGCTTGTTTGTTCCCAAACAACATGGGATGAAAAGATTAATCCAATTGCTCTTGTCTCCTCTGGGCTTCGGCTGGAACTGGATTCCTTGTGATGGTTTTAAATTGGTAGGCACACCTAGATCTGAGCATGACATATAAATGTACTACAGATACTTTTCAACTTACAATAGTTCACTTAGTGACCGTTCAAAGTTATAAGGGCACTTAAAAATGTGACTTATAATCATTTTTCAAAGTTACAATCTTTGCAGCCCCCCATTATCATGTGATCAAAATTCAGATGATTGGCAACTGGTTCATATTTATAACCATTGCTGTGTCCCAAGGTTATGTGATCACCTTTTACGACCTTCTGACAAGCAGGTCATTGGGAAAGCCATATTCACTTAACAACCAACTGCAATGATTCACTTAACAACTGTGGCAAGAAAGGCCATAAAAGGGGGCAAAAATCGCTAACAAATGTCTCACTTAACAACAGAAATTTTGGGCTCAATTGTGGTCATACTTTGAGGACTACCTGTATTGCTATATCGTTAGAACTGAAGTGGAAGATGAAAGCCCCTTTTTTGTGCTTCCTAAAGCCTCAGATGGAAGCACCACTGAAATTCAGTTGTGTGTCAGTTCTGAAATAGGAAAGACTGGTGAACCACAAGCTAAGCTTAAAATGGGATTAACATTTGTTTTATTTAAAGAAAACCCAGACCCCTCAAAAGCCTTAAAATCCAAGCCCCATCTACATATAAGATGCAACCCCATTATTTTGTATCATCTAGTGTATTGTGTTTCTATAATAAGCAATTAATTGTGCCCCCAGGGGCCACGGTGGCTCACGTGGTAAGACGCTGGGCCTGCTGCATACCGCTGAGGTCAACAGCTCGGTGGCTCGATTCCCGTGAGCGAATAAACTGCGGAGGGACAAGAAAGGAACCTCCCCCAATTGCCTACCCGCATTCAGGCATCCCACGGGTAAAAATAACACTGCCTAAGGGAGGCAGCCAGCCACCCTCAGTGATCCCTGGCTACACGTGCCATACCCTAAATAAATACATTGTGCCACCAGTCAGTGGTGATATTCAGCCGGTTCGCACTGGTTCACGCGAACTGGTAGCAAGAACCAGTAGTAAGTTCTGGCTGGCCACACCCCCGACCCGGTTGCTACTGGCTCACTTGCCCCACCCACCCAATGCTCACTCACCCCGCCCACCTGATGCTTGCCCCTTAAGGTATTTTTTTCCCTCCTGACAATCATACGATCAGCTGTGTCGGGATTCCCCTAGCTTGTTTTACTGCTTCGCCCAGGAGGATTTTCTGAGGCCCAGGAAGGCAAAAAATGGAGGGAGAGGCACAGCCCCCTCTCTCCCTTTTTTGCCTTCCTGAGCCCCAGGGGAGCTTCCTGGGAGCAAAACGCGCCCCCCCCCAGGAGGCTCCTCTGAGGCCCAGAAGGCCCCAAAATGGAGCGAGGAGTGGGTTCTGCGTGCTCCCTCCAGGCTCCATTTTTTTCCTTCCTGAGCCCCAGGGGAGCCTTCTGGAGCAAAAACACCTCCCAAGAGGCTTGCCTGAGGCCCAGAAGGCCCAAAATATGGGTGGGGGGTTGGCTGCAAAAAAGCAAAAATAAATAAATAAAAGCCACATCCGCCCAGTTACATGGCCATGCCCATCAAGCCATGCCCACAGAACCGGTAGTAAAAAGTTTTGAATCCCACCACTGAGCTATCTGTACTTTTAGGCCCTCTCTATTTAATTTAGGGGTTTCCAAACTTGGCAATTTTTAAGACTAGTGTACTTTAAGACCTGTGCCTAAAGAATTCTGGGAGTTAAAGTCCACAAGTCTTAAAGTTGCCAAGTTTGGAAACCCCAGATTTAGCTACTCTCTGGTGTAATGAATTCACTTTGAGTGTTCATCTGAAATAATGTCTGGGCTGAATCATTTTTAGGTAATACAGAAATCCTTAAAATTCATGGAGAGTTCTGTAACTTACCTGCTGGACATAATTGGAATGGTTGGCTTGAAAGGAGCATGGATGCACCAACCTGTCTCAGTGTTAGATCAAGGTTGACCAATCTTGACCACTGGGGTCATAGATGCAGTCTTTTGTATGATAACAGAAGTTAGAATGATTTGTTCCTGTTGACAACAGACCAAAAGGAAAGGAAGGCAAAGTCCAGTTCATTTGTTTCCACCCATCATTAATCTTAAGAAATAACCTCATGCCAGAAAAAAAAATATATCTCCAATTTTTATTTTAGACCATGTAGGAACATGAGGCAATAGGCACGGCCCTCAGTGATCCATAACTTCGCTGGTTTATATGTTTTTATAATAAGTTAAAAATAATGCACTGATCATATTATCGAGTTTGGTAATGAAACATCTCCAAGAAAACCACCAAGCTCAGAGAGCACCTAAGTTTCCACAGATCAACCCTGAATCACAAATATTTACTTCTATAAGCAAAAATAATTATAATTATTTTATTTTGTTAACAAATCATAAAAAGTTTTCTCTCTCTCTTTTCCTCCCTCCCCCTTCTCTCTCTCTCTCTCTCTCTCTCTCTCTCTCACACACACACACACACAGATGAAACACTGCAGTCACGACAAACTCATTTTGTTTGGCAGAGCTTGCTAGGAGAATTACAATGGTACCCAAGGAAATGTATGCCTAATTAGAACTGCTTGCTTCATTCCGCAACAGCAAACATAATTCCACACATACTCAATCCAGGAACAGTGGTGTTATGAAAAATGGATTTTAGCTGAAAGCTAAGAGAAAAAAAATCCTAATAATATGGAACCAATGACAGAAAGGTGGTGGGTTCCTCTTCACTGGATAAATTCAAACTGAAGCTGGAAATATCATCTGGGTAGTATTCCAGAGCAGGATTAAAATAATAAATTATTATGTCAGGGAACATAGTATTGCTATGGGAAATTAGTATGGCTCTTCTCTATTTCCAGCTACCTGATCAGCCAATCAAAAAAGCCGCAAATTTTGTAATCTAAAAATTTGGTTATCTTTATTCTCTTTAATCTTATTTATTAATTCAAATATTAAATAAATAAAAATAGAGTGTTTAGATGAGCTACACAGCAGTCTTCAATCTATTGTTATCTCTTGTATTTATTTCTTAACACCATACTAATTTTTACCTAGAAATTATGGAAGTTGATATTTAAAACATCTAGAATTCATTGGTTGAAAAATACAGTACTATAAGGTTTATCTTCTAGTGTTCTCTCCCTGGCCTGAGTTTATGAAGTTTGGCTCGAGAATCATGATTTAATTAGAGCAATTGCTGGAATCCTGACAACTTTCTAGCATGAGCTATTTCCTACAATTTTGCATGAATACTCAGGGAAGCTTCATCCAGCAAACGTGGACAATATTGCTGATTCAAAAATGCACTTATTTATTAAACAAATATACATGGCCATTTATTTAACTGATAGAATATCTAGGCATGATATTGAGCTACAGTCTCATTTGAGAATTTCAAAACAGTAGATTGTAAGACATCCTATTCTTGGCAAATTCTTTATATTTTTATCTGCACAATAGCTATAGGATTATATTCCATAATTAAACTTCCAGAATCTTAGTTGTTATATAAACCCAATCTGAATGAGTCATCAGACCAAAGGTTATTCTTCCAAGCTTTTAGGTTTGTGGAGCCCAACCTCAGAAAACTTCTGTCTCCTGAATGTGTGCCCTGGATTGTTCTACACGTTGTATTTATATGATCATAGCTGTTATGTTTATTATTTCAAGATATTTGTTCAAAATATTCTAAGGAACTACAAAACAGGTTCTTTAGCCCGCCTTGGATATGATATGACATACTGAGAGAAGATTATGTTCTTTCAAAAGAACTTTTGGTTCAATAATGAATGGATAGAGCCTCTTTTGGTTGTTGGGCAAGATGGCTAATTGCTCTGGAATCACTCGCTAAGCAGGCCTAAAATATTAATTATTAACAGACATTTCATCACTATAATTCCATTATGTAATACCGTATATCTGTATTTGAGAAAACCATATTTCTGCACATTACATGGTTGTTATGGGACAAAAATGTAGATCAGGAAAAAAAAATGGAAGATGCATTTTGAAATGGTTAACTGGTTATGTTGTTCTTGATAACTGTCCTAGATTTTTATCTTCATCTGATTGCTTTTAAAGTGCCATTAGATCATTCTTTCATCATTTGGACAAAAGCAAATTGTTACACTAACACATTTTTTAATTTTTTTCTCTATTCCTTTAAGGTTGCAACTTTATGGCATGATAATTTTAGCTTTGCTAATTGTTATTTTTATGCTTTAAAAACATTAAGTCAGTGGGAACTTGCTCCAGGCTGCTAGTTTCCTATTGATATTAGCTACTGAAGAGCAGCAGTTTATTTCCATCCTCCAGTGATGGGCTAATGATAGAAAAAAGAAATGGGCAGAGGTTTCACCTTGTGAAGAAACAAGGGTCATTCACATGCAGCATGTGGGTTGTTCACCTGAGTCTTAAAATGGTGTGATCCATGATATCAACTGGCTTTTCAAATGGTTAGATTTCCTTGAAGCAAGTTTTGCTGCAATAGATCTATTTGTATTGTTTTTACTATGTAAGCAAGAAAAAAAAAGGAAAGACAAAAAAGAGAGAAAACAGTCCACAAAAGTATATACTTCAGGTATATTATTTTCATGTTGCAGGATTAACATCTTGATGTTTTTATGTAATAGAAAAAAAGAAATTAAGTTTTTAAACTCAGACATATAGTCTATACTTTAAAATGCTCTAAATAGAGCTCCTGGTGGCAAAATGCTTCTTCAAATATAAAAGAGAGTCCATCAGATCACTGGATTAATCACTGAGAATTTGTTTCACTTCAACTTTGTAGTGAAGATAGTTTTTTAGTCATAAATTATCTATTTCTGCAATTCTACTAGTTCCTAACCCATTGATACACAATTCAGAATTATAAACTTAGGCTTAGAAATCAATGAGTTTTGCAGAACAAAATTAATGTGTGGCTTAATTGCTTCCAGAAGATATCACTGCACCTATAAATGTCCTTCTGAAAAGCAGAAATCCAAAACAATGCAAATAATTTAAAATGCATTGTAGTATAACATACAACTCTGAAGCAGACATTTCATTGCCATGCATCTTTGTACCTTTAACATCAAATCTAATTTAAATCATCTCTAAAAATAAAAACATTACAGCTTTATTTTTTGTTGAAGAACATATTAAATATTTCAGGGTAGAGCAGGGTCTGAAGATTTCTGCCCAAAATCTATATGTCAATAAGTGTTTCAAATAAAGCTATTGTCACTTCATAATTTTTGGCAAATCTTGATTGCAATATTGACAACAGATTTCACAATTATTGCTACTCCTTGGAATTCTTAGAATAGCAACAGCAATAAAAACGCTTATTTACAAACAACTAATTTTGAATGTTTGGGCTAAGTCATGGGTGTCAAACTCGCTTCATCACGTTGCCATCACGTGACATTTCATGACGTTTTCCCCATTCGCGGAGCTGGGGTGGGTGTGGCCTACACATGACGCATACAGGCCAAGGGCCGCCAGTTTGACACCCCTGGGCTAAGTCAACCTTCCCATCTATCTCAAGATGGTTTAAATGAAGTTTACAACATATAATTTCTTCCAGTTTCATTGTAAATATGGTGCTGATGGCTTGGTGTTTGTCTTCTATGTACAGATATAAGAATGTAAGAATTATAGGTATATGCAGAATAGTTAAAATACCATGAAGGTGTAGAGCACCCTGTCTCCATGAAGAGTTTTCTTCTTTGCAGCTTTCTTACTTTGATGTGTATTTTAAATAGCTAATTTCTCATTCCAGTCCTGATGTAGCTCTTCCAGAAGAACAGCCACATTCCAGCTCCCAATATACCCCTCCTGTCAGCTGTCTACTTAAGCCGCCTCCTTAACATCGTACTTCATACGCAACCTAAGAGTTTGGGGAAAATCTCACCACACGGACTGAATTTGAGTTCTTACAGCAAAGGAAGAGTTTGTGTCAAGCATGACTGCCTTGTTGCTGCTGCTGAATCCAGACACCATCTACAGTCTTAAACAAAGAAAGGCATGTGGAAAAGCTTTAAAGCACAGTGCCCAGACTGCTGAAAATCTTCAAGGTTCCTCTGTGTGCATCATCTGATCAAAACTACACAATGGAAGTCAGACTTGTTCCTTGCAGTTGTTTGGCTAGGGCTACTGATGTGCCGGGAACCTAGACTCCTATTGAAGCAAAGCAAAGAAAGTATGCTACCAATCTTATTTTGCCCATTCAGCTCAAGCTACTGACTCCATGTTTCTTTCTGTGGTTTAAATGGCATTTTATTTTTATTTTTTTTCTGACATATTTGTACCAAAAAGTATGGTTATTAGAAATGATGCGTTGATGGATTTCTGCCACTTGTTTTTCTTAAAGTAATATGGAGATAATTACATCGAGATTTGTTTTGTTTTTTTGTTCAGTTAGGATTTGTTTTTATTATTTTTTAAAAAATTTAAAAATGTGTATATATATATTATTTGGAGATAGCTCGCCTTGGGCAAAATGCAGCCTGGTGTTTTGTTTGTTTTATTGCACAACATTGTAGAAGATACATTGAAATGAATGTGTTGGGGGGGGGGGTTGCAGAGGAAGTTGGGTGTGCCAAAATTGCATCAAAATAAATAGGCACACAGTGAAGCACTTAAATTGCATTGATTTCAAGAGAATTCTGGCATGCCTAATTTTCTCTGAACTGTGTCTTTTGACTGGTACTACAGAACTCTGCTGCACTGGTATTGTTTACACAGTTGTTTTATACATTAATGTATTAGCTGCTGGTTCCTTTATACCTTCAACCAGATTTAAGCCTGAAAAGGGGTTTTATTGAATAATATATGCATAACTGTTTCCTTGTGCTTATTTTTGTGTTTCAGGGTATCGTTTTGTTTTAAGGATCTTTTCCCCTTTTTTTTTCTGGGCAAGCTAATTACTTGGTGCTTTTTTTCAGTTTTACTGTTTGGTATCCAGACCAAAAAAATTCAAATGAACTTGAAGTAAACATACTGCATTTTATGATAATTGAAAAATGCAGGATACGTTTCACTTTACTCCCAAATCCAGTATTATCAGACACTAGGGCCTTCCTTTGGTAAAAAAACCAAATGGTGGTGGGATATCAGATGATCAAAATTAGTGCATTTGGTGGGGAATTAAGCAAAGGAAGTGGGATCGATATTTTGAATCGAAGAACATAGATTTAAGGGATTGTCTAAACTGTCAGCAGTTTTTATTCTAGCCCATTCCATAACAAATAACTCAGGTCAGGGTACACAGGTTGTTCCTGCATTGCTTGGCATTCTTCATTCAAGAATTTTCCCAATAAATTTGAGAAATGCTGGGTATGAAAGAAAATGAAGGATAATTACATTATTTTGCACAATGCTTAGAAGCAAGATGGCTTACTTGCAAGATTTCAAGTTATTAGTTTGGGTTTTTGGCTGGGTCACTCAGTGATACTGTTAACCAATTTCTCCTGTTAGTGGAATTCTTATTCTGAGTCAGATAGCCTTAATACATTATAACAGGGAAGACCTGAGTAGATCCAGTTCCCTTGGTTCCATCTCTGACGTGCTGATATGAATTACATGACAGAAATTGTATGATATCTGGGGAAATTATCCATTCTGAAAGATACCTGATCAGCTGGAATGACTTGACATCAATCCCCCTTAATATTAAAGAAAATGCTCCTTCTTAGAATACATACCAAAACGCGGAAAGAAGGAAGGGGTGGGGGGGATCTTCAGCCAAGGAAACCATGAAGTTTAAGTGGTCATCTTTGTGCCTAATAATAAATACCATTGAAAAACAAGGTGCTAAAAACAGGATAAGCCTAATCAGCAATTGATGTAATGTGGAACAGTTGAAGTTTTGTCAAGAGACAGTGGTTTAAGTTACCAATGAAATCCACAAACTTGAAAGCAATCTCCAGCGTCCTAGGGACAATTAGTGTGATAGCGAATTGACTAGAGGGAAATACATTTAAATGACCTCTATGCGACAGTCTAAATCATATATAGCCATTGCTAGAACCGTAGGAGCTAATGGTTGTCGTTTAATGTTTTTCCATGTTGCTTATCTTGTGCTATACTTAACATTTCAATGCTTCATATTCATATCTAGCAAGGGAATATTTCAGGAGCTCCTAGGGTTGCCGTTGCCAACTTTACATTGGGTTACATTGACCGTTAGCCATCAATCAAATTTCTGCCTGAATTGAGTGTTCCTCAAGAGTGCCAGGAACTTCAACCATTCATCTTACTTTAACTGTCATCCTAAATTCAATAATGTTGTTTTCCAACTGGTGGGATCTTCATCCAGGAGCAGAAGGTGCAGCTAATATTGCTGAACAATGAAAAAAAGTCCTATGGAGAGTTTCGTTGTGGTTTTGCTTGTGGATAATGCAAATTAATTTATGCATATGGTTTTGCAAGAGAGAAGCACATGATTTCTTAGCCAGTGAAATCAAAAGGCCTTAAAAGTGCTTAGAAATGATTGGATCATACCTTCATTTTGATTTGTATTCTATTAACAAATGGTTTCAACTGACCTAATGTATACCTCAGAATATCTGTTAGATCAAACTGTCTGTGTAACTGAGCTGCGACTATATAGGTCTTACAACATATGCTATGCTACAGTGGAAATCTCATTCTTGCCATTTTTGGTACTATATTTTGCAAAAAATAATAATAATTTCAGGCTGCAGTCTTATGAATGTTGACTTTAGGAAAAGTTGTGCTGAAAAGTAAAAAAAATGGAATTGTTTGGATCTAAATTTCACTTACTGCTGTACAGATTGTAGGCTCATACCTGAGTAACTATGCTAAAATTTCAGGTTCTTTTTTAATATAGGTTATACTTCATAGCTGGAAACAACACCTCTATTATCTTCATGAAATGTCCAGAATATTCAAAATACTGGAATATACAGTATAGTTAGCCATGTCTCCCAAGTCTTTCTTTTTTAAATTTTGATGGATAATTTTAAACATTTGAATATCAAAAGTATGGGACTAGTCCAGAGACAGAGAAGCATGCATTTTCCCATTTCAATCTAAAAACAGATGAGAAAGAATATGCACAGTACATTCACAATATGAGGAATGATGAGGGGAGAGAGTCTGCTATGTATTTTGCACATATGTACACACATTTAAATTGGCTTAGCTGGACATGGAAACATCCAACAACAATCAGGTTAGATGTGGATTTTTGTACAGCTTCACTTCTTTTCCTGTCTATAGCAGTGGTGAATTTGTGTATTAAAAAAAAGAAATATCCGGATTTTTATGTCACTCAAGATCTAGACATTCCTCAAACTAAATGAGAAAAATGACAGAATGTTACAAAGAAAATAACGGTATTCAGAAGGCCTTTTAAATAAAAAAAAAAATCACAGTTATTCATTCTTTTTCTTTTAGCAATGAAAAAGTTCAAAAGGGAGTATTTTCTAAACATGATTATACTCTAATACTACCCAACATTGGTTTTTTTTTTGCTTAATTGAATTTTAGTGGAATTAATAACATAGGACTAAGCCTAACTGCACAACTGGGGAGGAGTGAATCTTTTATTGTTAGGGTCTAATATTATCCTTTTATCAGTAAAGCCAATAAAGCCTCAAGTTGCTATCTAATCTCTAACAAAGTACATATGATTCTGAAATTGGTTCTTTTATTCCATGATTTATACAGCAATTCCATTTTATTTTTCCTTCTTTATGAAATATTTGTTTTAATGTTCCAAGTGCTGAGTACATTAAAAGCACAGTGATTTCCCTCCTTATATCTTGTCTTAACAATCATGTTTTGTTCTTCAGCTTTTTCTCCAGTTTTCTATCTGTTAAAGATAAATGAGACAGAGTATTCAGAAAATTTCTGGCATTTTACTTTTTTTTTTTTTGAATAATCCTGTGTATAAAATTAAAAAAAGCAATTAATTGCATTGGCCTCAGGGCAGAATGCATCTGAATATGCAATATAATAAAAAGCTTGCATGACATAATTTCATGTACCCTTTTCAATCATCTATAATAAAGCTAGAGAATTTTTATTTCATGAAGATTCCTCTTTCCCCATTCCTGCATATTGGAAATGCAAGGCCAGTATAACTTCGTCAAGAGCCATATTACCTATGACTTCCATCCATTTTAATTTCCCTTCTACAGAGCTCTTAAAAATCCTCTCTAATAAATTTGAAGGCAACATGGTGATAACTGACAACATACAAAGGAAAAAAATAGATGTGTATTACTGTGATTGCTATGTTAATTTGCTATAAGACTCTGTATGTATAGGGGTCTTGTTTTTTAGATAGCATCTTCACATGAAAATATATCTGCTGCTCACTATTATGGGACAGTGCGATGGCTCAGCAGTTAAGACACTGGGCTTGTCGGCTGGAAAGCCCACAGCCCCGGTTCGAGACCCGAGCATTGTGCAATGGGTGAGCTCCCATCTTCGCCTAGCTCCTGCCTGCCTAGCAGTTCGAAAGCATGCAAGTGCAAGTAGATAAATAGGTACTACTTTGGTGGGGAGGAAATAATGCCCTGCGATGTCATGCTGGCCACATGATCATAGAAACGTCTTTGAACAGCACTGGGTCAAGAAGCCCTTGAAATGGGAGATTAGCTCCAACCCCTATAGTCGACTATGACTAACGGAGTAAAGTCTGCAGGGACTCCTTTCCTTCCCACTATTATGCACTAAAAAACAGCAGTGGCAATTTTTATATTTTGCAGCATAAATAATTTGTTTTGTTGAAACTTTTACTTCATTATTAAAACTGTTTTGAAATTTGTCACAAGTGTTTGATACAACTGGAATAATTCTGCTAACCAGCTGTGTGAGTTTGGTGAAGGGGAGAAATAAAAATAATCTAGCTTTTAAAACTTTATTCATGGATATGGCTTTGTGTACCATACCTTTGAATAAATACAAGTCCACCTCACTAGTTTTGGATCTTGCGTTTCAAACCTTTTGGTTTGACCATTAAAGGATTAATTCATCTGATCCTTTGTTCAAAATACTTTAAATCCTGATGTTTTGTGACTTTTGTAATCTCTGAATGTTTCCCTTTGCATGAATGTTTCCTTAACTAATCAACCACAAAAAATGTATTGTGTTATATTCCAAATGGTTTTGAAATGCTGGTGAAGTTTGTGTTAAACATGATTGTATACTTACATCTGCCTGCTGTAAAGGTTGGCTATTTCTAAATGGAACTGAAACTGTTATAAAATTTTGAGGTTGAATGAATATTTCTAGATGGTGAAGACAATAGATGTGCTCAGTGATTTAAAGACTGAATGTTAAGAATTCTTGTGTTGCAACCACTGGCTTCACAGGAAGTATATTGACTAATTCTCAATTCCAGAACCTTGTGCTTATGAAACCTCT